CTGTCGTCACTTTTGGGCTCATCAAGCCTGAATTTGGAGGAAGTCTCAGGCGGGAGCCTCGTCTGTGAGTGAATTGTGAGGAAGTCTCAGGCGGGAGCCCCCTCCCTATGGGGCCCGCAGATCATGTTGGTAATCCGAGCGGGTCATCCAAAACCTGTAACTGTCGTCAATTTTGGGTTCTCGCGCTGCCAGAACGCAGTTCCCAGGCCACATTTTGGATGCAACAAGGAAGTTTTTGGGCTCCTCAGGTCGCCGAGGTGCTGCGACAGGGCGCCGAAGGCGCCGACGACGACGGCCAGGCCGAGGCGCGGGCGCGGAGCTTGCTGATGTTCAGGCCCAGCGAAAGGGAGTTCACATGGCAGAGCTCGGGGGCGCACAGCGTGCGCCGCTCGGGGTTCACCCTGACGCACGCGTCCTACCTGACCTCCACGCTGTCGCAGGGCCAGACGCTGCGCAAGGGCGTCACCATCGACTGCGCGAGAGACGAGGACGCTGGCCGCACGGGCATGTCGGACGAGCAGTGGTGGCTGCACCTCTACGTCATGTTCTCCCGCGCCACGTGCATGCGGAACATGCTGATCCTGCGGCCGCCGCCGCGAGAGTTCCTGGAGTGCGGGCCGCCGGCGTCCCTGCGGAAGGCGCTCCTGGAGTTCGACAAGAGAGCGGTTTTGTCCAGGGCGGAGGCGAAGCAGCTCGCGGCAGAGCTGGGTTTCGTGCTGCCTTCCGCCTGAGCGCGGCTGCACCTCGCTCGAAGCCCGCGGGGTTGTCCCAACGGCTTGGTCTTGCGCGCCAGCGGCTCGCGGGGTTGTCCCGACAGCCTGGCCCGCGGGGTTGTCCCAACGGCTGCGCGACGTGACCAGTAGAGAACGCGCCTGTGCTGGCCGTGGCGGCGACGGCGCCGAGGAACATCGACATGCGCGCTCATGCAACAGGAAGGGGAGGAGGTGGCGGGGCGCGGAACAAACAGGGGGGCGAGGATGGGGACAACGTAAGGAGTGGAAGGGGGGCCCGCGCCAAGGCGAGAGGAAATATACGCAGAAGAGACAGCCAGGACGCCTCACCAACCACGAGGACGACGGTGATGGCTTTTTCCAGATTCGCCCAGAGGATTCTTATGTGGGGTTCTTCCGTCGGGGTAATTGGTGTTGTTTTTGCTGTTGTGATTGACTACTCATTTCTAAAAATAACTATTGCTGATCTCGGGAAACGGTTCCACGCGCTCTCGCCTCGACGCCGACTACATTTTCGCTGAAAACGAGGCTCCCGCTCGAGCGTTTGCTTGACCCTAAATCTGGGCCGTTGGAGGCCCAGCTACGACAACAAAGGCTCCCGCTCGATACGTTCTCACAATTTACCCCGAGACACCCTGGCCAAAGAGGCCCCCGAACTCAGGAAAGGCGCTCTCGCTCGGGACTTCGTCGCAATTCACTTAAGTTGGCGGAGGCCCAGCCACGACGACAAGGGTTCCTGCTCGATATTTCCTCACGATGTACTCCGAACGCCCCTGGCCAAGAAGGCCCCGAGTTCAGGAACTGCGCTCTCGCTCGAGATTTTCCCGCGATTCAAGCAAGTTGGTGGAGGCCCGGACACGGCGACAAGGGCTCCCGTTTGATATTTCTCCATAGGTATTCCAAGAGCCCTTGGCCAGAGAGGCCCCCGAACTCAGGAACGGCGCTCTCGCTCGAGACTTCTTTGCACTTCCATCACTGGCCGACAAGGAAGAGATTCCCCCCGAAAGGGGGTGCAATCGAAGACGAAGTGGGCGGGTATCGAGGGTTGGGGCATACGGAACGCAAGACACGAGTGCCAGTCAGAGCGAACCGTCTTAAAATGATTGTTGCTGTTGAACTCTCATTTCAGAAAAATCATTATTGTTGATCCCCCCAGTCCGGTGCACATGTTTTTTTCGATTGAAGTGCCCTTCCCGGGACTCGCACGCTATTTTTTGCGAGGGAAGCTCTTGAAGGTCAAACTGTGTTATTGGCCCCCGGTTTACAACAACAGCGGCTCCCGCTTGATATTTCCGCACAACGTATTAAAGAATCGCGCTCTCGCTTCGGATTTCCTTGCAATTCACCACCGGATCGCGGCTCCCGCTTGATACTTCCTCACAATGTATTGAAGAATCGCGCTCTCGCTGGGGACTTCCTCGCAACTTACCACCGAATCGCGGCTCCCGCCTGATATTTCCTCAAAATTTATTCAAATGCCGCTCCTCGACACCCAGGAATTGCGCTCCCGCTACATATTGCCTGGCGGTTCAAGCACAATTTACGCTTCAACGACCCGCCCGCTCGACCCGCCCGTCTGGGCTTGCCCGCCCGACCAGCCCGTTAGGGACTGCAGTCGCCGCTTGCTGCCCTTCGCCCGCCTTCGATGCCCCTCGCTGCCCGTACTCGTTCCGCGGTCGCCTTCGCTCGCTGCCCTTCGTGGCCCCGTTGCTGCCCTCAGTGGCCCCGTCGCTGCCCACTGTGGCCCCGCATTATGTGCCCTTCGTGGCCCCCGCTCGCAGTCGCCCGTCGTGGCCCCATACGCATGCCCTTCGTAGCCCCGCTGTCGCCCTTCGTGGCCCTCTCGCTGCCCTTCGTGGCCCCTTTGCTGTCCTCAGTGGCCCCGCTGTCGCTCTTTGTGGCCCCATATACGAATGCCCTTCGTGGTCCCCGCTCGTTCGCGCCCGTCGTGGCCCGATATGCAGGCCCTTCGTGGCCCCGATGTTGCCCTTCGTGGCCCCCTCTCTGCCTTTCGTGGTCCCGTTTCTGCTCATGGGCTTCACCAACCACACGCGGTAGGAATAATATACCCCCGAAGAGGAGGGTACGATCGAAGACGAAGAGGGCGGGTATCCAAAGCTTGGGACATGCAGATTGAATGACACGCGAGCAGATAAGAGCGAACAGTATTAAACTGATTGTTGGTTTGTTGTTGTTGTTGCTGTTGTTGCTGTTGTTGTTGTTAATGTTGAACTCTTATTTCGCATACATAATTATTGACGATCCCCCCTCACCGGTGTATGCTGTTTTTTCTGAATCAAAATGTGCCCCTCGACGCTCGCACCCTGTTTTTGACAGGGAAAATTTTCGTGCTCGAACTGTACCCCTGGCTCCCGGGATTACAACAGCAACGGCTCTCGCCTGCGACTTCCTCCAAATTTACTCAGGACCCCCGCTCCCGCCTGAGACTTCCTCACAATTGAATCAGGATCGGTGTTCCCGCCTGTGACCCCTCGCAATTTAGTCAAGACCCCCGCTCCCATTTGAGACTTCCTCACCATTTACTCAGGAACGGCGCTCCCGCTTGAGACTTCTTCGCAATTGAGCCGAGACTTCTTCGCAATATAATCCAGACCCCCGCTCCCGCCACTTTCGACGCTCAGGAAACACGCTGCGACAATGACGCCGTCACAATTTACTCAGAATCGCGATCTCGCCATACTCAGGCATCCCGCTCGAACGTCCCACCCGCCCGATCCGCCCGTCAAAGGATCGCCCGCCCGTCGTGGGCTCCCGCCCGAGACTTCCTTCAGGAGCGGCGCTTTCGCCTTGGACTTCCTCGAACGTTCACGCTCTTACCTTCCTGCTCCTCCTCCCTCTCCCTCCTCCCTCCTCCCTCCTCCCTCCTCTCCTCCCTTTTCTCCCTCCTCTCTTCCCTCATCCTTGCGCCTCTCTGCCCTATCCCCTCTCCCTATTATCCCTCCTCCCTTCTCCCTCCCCTCTCCTTGCCTCCTCCCTCTTTCTTTCTTTATTTCTCTCTCTCTCTCTCTCTCTCTCTCCCCTCTCCCTCTCTCTTTCTCTACCTCTCTTATATGTCTGTCTGTCTCTCTCTCTCTCTCTCTCCCTCTCTCTGCCTCTAATCAACCGCCCCCTCTTTCGCTCCTTCTCTCCTGGCGTTTCCCCTCTTCCTTCGTCCCTCCCCCTACCTTCCTCCCACTCTCCCTCGTTCTCCCCCTCCTCTTTTTGCAGGGCCCACACCAATTCCAATGGCGGGCACATGTACGCCCACTAATGATTGTCCGCCCGTTCAGGTTTGCCCGCCTGTCTAAGCCCGCCGCCCCCGGCAAAGAGAAAGAATCCCCCCAAAGGGGGCGTGATCGAAGACAAAAAGGGCGGGTATCGAGGGTATGGGGAACTCGTTTTGAATGACACACGGGCAAGTGAGAGCGAACAGTCTTAGAATGATTGTTGTTGCTGTTGTTGTTGTCGTCATCGCCCGCGACCCCCCCACGACCCACCCGCGACCCGCCCCACGACCCACCCACGACCCACCCCGCGACCCACCCCTCGCCCGCCCACTCACTCCTGTTCGCAACCGCGGGATGCTGCATATCTGCATTGCTTGTGCGGGCTTCGGAAGAAAATAGAGGGCAACAAAATCCACCTCCATAATAACCACCCCAACAAGCGAGGCCGTTTAGTAAACGCGCACCCAGAGACGGAATCGAACAGGGCAGGGCTGTTTGGTAAATGCCCAGGGCCGTTTAGTAAACGCCAATTGTCCGGTCCGGGTGGTTGTTCCTCCCTTGAGAGCAAGCCCTGAGATCCGACGTTGACGAAACATTGAAACATCGCAAGAACCACGCCCAGACCCCTGGACCCCATCTCTGTGCGTCATTCGTCGAGCCGGGTCGCTCCATCAGGGCCCCGGGGCCCGAGAGCGAACGAAAACGCCCGTTGTGAAAAAAAGGCAGCGCCAGGATCTCAGGGAATGCAATGTTAAAGGCCTCCCAGATGGGCTTCCAGTAGATGGGGTCGGAGGAACGCGCCGCATCGATGATACATCGGCGATGCATCGCCGATGCATCGGCGATGCATCGGCCATGCGGTGGCGACGTCGGCGACACATCGGCGACGTCGGCGTGGAGAAATTTCGGCCCCACATCGAGCCGCATCGCCGATGCATCGCCGATGCGTCGCCGATGCATCGGCGATGCGGCGCGATCCTCCGACCACATCTACTCCGACCCCATCTGGGAGGCCTAGAACTGTGAACATCAAGGCGAAGGCCTGATCCCTCCGGGAAGGGCTTCGACGTAGTGGCGCCCATGAGGTCGGGGTTGTCCAGGAGGGTGACGATCGTGATGCCCACCAGGACGGCCGGGCAGACCCACTTCCACAGGGCCGAGAGCCACCAGGGGATGGTGATGCCTCGGCAGGCGCGAGCACTCACGCGTCGGGCCGTCGAGAACTCGGCGAAAAGGCAGAGCTGGTGGTGAGGAAAGGCCCCTCCCCACGAGGTCGAGTCTCCTGCGCCCTCGCTGCAACACTGCCTGCTGCTCGCGAGGACCGAGCGACTGCGTGCGCCGACGAGCCCGGATCAGTATTCCTGTCGGCGTCGCACAGCATGCATTAAATCAGTTCTTACCACCTAGAGAAGAGCCGTAATAAATAGTACCTGCGGCTCGGTGGGTCCTGGTACGGTCCTGGGAGTCCTAGTATTGTCGAAGTAGTGTTCTGGCCTGTTTCTGGCAGGGTCCTGGTCAGGCTGAAGTACAGTCGTTGTAAGATCATGGTGTGGCCTTGGCTGGGTCTGGCGGGGCCCCGCCAAGGTCCTCATAGGGTCCTCACGGGGTCCATCCCTCAAGGTCCTTGCGTCCGTGAACGCTCCATTTCCGCCATGGCGCTGACGGGCTGCTCGGAGCCACCGCGCGCTGGCTCCCCGGGTTTGGTCTTGCCGCCCGCTGCCTGCGCCCCAGCTTCTTGTGGGACACCACGCCCGCTCCCGTCCTGGGGAACGTGCGGCCACCAGACGTTGGCTCCACACCGACTGCTTTGCACCCTTGCCCCACTGGGTGGTCCCTGCCTCCGCACTGCGCCCCGCCGCCGCCAGGCCCCCCCGGTGGAGCAGCCGCCGCGGCCCCGCCGGCGGGGCTGGCCGCGCCGGCGGGGCTGGCCGCGCCACGCGCTCGAGGCTCGACTCGTCCCCCTGAGCGGCCTCGCTCCCCTCCCGCGCCCCTTTTCGGCCGCGTCCTCTGCCCTCTCCCCTCCTCCCGCATGGTGGCACAATTCGCTACAACGGCACCCCCGTTTAGGCAGCTCATCGCCGGCGCGGTTACTCTGCCTGGCCGCCGACACCAAAAAACTGTGCACGCTCCTGGTGTGGTCCAGACATGGTAAGGTTCCGTGAAGGTCCTGGTAGTCCCTCCGTCGTGAGGGTCTCCAATTGTCCGGAGCAGTGACCAGTGAAACGATTGTGGCGAGAGTGATGGGAAGAGAGAGGTGTGTGTGTGTGTGTGAGAGACCGTATGTGGACATTAGATTCTAACCCTGTGGCCCAAGATGCCACCCCAGACCCCCCCAAATCAATTTTGATGGCGTGACGACGGGGGGGCGTGAGTGGACAGAAATATTCGAACCCCCAAAGCACCGCCTCTACTGAGATCAACGTTGATGTCGGGGCCGTGGGGGTGATTCCGAATCTCCCTCGTATTTGTCAGGGTTCGAATCTATTGTCCGTGTGCTGGAGAGGAGGAAGGCCAGGGACAAGGAAGCAGAATGAGGCACGAACCCTCGCTTGCGCGCGTGCTGCGGTCTGCTGGTCGGCCGATCTGGCAAGCCTTAGGTCGGGCGTGTCCCCCTACAGGCGGATTTTGGACGAAAAATAAAAAATACCCCAAACATATTCAAAAATCCGCAAAACTGATCAAAAACTTATCCCCAGACTATTTTTCAAACTATTTTGGAATACTCCCTGTAGAGGGACAAGCCCGACTTCAGGCAAGCTGGTGATTCTGCTGCTGCTGTTGCTGACCCCGTGGCTGCTGCTGGTGCTGCCGCTGCTCCTGCTGCTGGGCTCCCGCCGCTCGTCCCGCTCGAGCTGCTTGCACCTGCTCGGCTCGCACTGCCGCTGCTACTGCTGCTCGTGCCACCTGTGTTTTTTTGAAGGTGCTACTGTGACTGCATCTTCTACGCTACGACTCTGCGAC